TTTATACTAGTTTAATACATTTTAAACTATTTTTAATCATAATATAATATATTTTTTATCTGCTTTTTTATGTAGGTTTATATCTGATTAACTACTATTACAAACTCTAAATTTTGCAGATCTACAGAATACTGTAAAAACAAAAATGCACTTAATACATACTAATGTAAACTTCTATGACACTTACCTGTCAGTCACTGTCATGTGCATAACTGACCATCATAGTATTCAGAAATGAAAAAAAAAAAAAGTTCAAGAGCAAATACATTTATTATACTTCCTCCAGAGCAATATATTCTCGTCTAGATGAAGTTTGCAGGGACTCTGTTTTGATTTCACATGTTCTCCCCACACATTAGGCCCGTGTAGGCACACAATTGGTTCGGTCAGTTAATCTGCCCAAAGTTTAAGACTAAACAAAATCCGCAACAGCCAACCACTGGCGAGACATTGTTGCGTAAATCACTTCAATCTGGCCCCCACAAGCCTCCCCAGTATGAGTGAATGAGGCTCGGATGAGATTATTTCAACCAGCACTGGAACGAGCTCAACTGTGCCAACCGACTCGTGACGTTCCCAGCTGTGGAAGTGGACACTGTCTACAGGTTACAGTTGGATTAGATCTGGCTATCTGTTCTCAGAACAGTCCATTTAAAGAAGTATCGCTGTAGGTAATGTTGCACCATATTATCATAACAGTGAGCCTCTGAATGTTAAACTGAATCTCAAAGTGGTTTGTGTTTCGGTTTGCAAATGTGAAGTGATCTAATGCAATCCTGCTTCAGAAACTTCATGAATGAGGGGTTTAGGGTTTGATGATTCGGTATCATTTGGTTTTGACCCCCATTCACTTTGTCAGTGGGAAAGGTCACTGGGGAAAACACTGAGCTAGATAAGGCTTAGGCAAATGCAGTGTGATGGAGGAACACGACGACTGGAGATGCAAACGCAGAACTTCGTATGAAGGTAGCTGGTTACTTTTCATTTAAAAGACAATCTATACATGGGTTTGTGCAAAAATGTTATGGTAATGCACGTTTTCCTTTGTATGAACATTAAATGCACCCAATTCCCGGCGAAACTGCTCCATCAAGTGGTGAGAGCAATAAAATGTTGTGTGACTGTTTCCAGTGTTTACATGAAATGTTTGTAAAGAAGACAAAGTACAGTAAGAGAAAATTACTTCCATGTAAAATTCTATTTTATACATACAGAAGAATAATGAATAACTTGAAGGAAAATTATGAAATCTTATTATATATTATATAGTGTAAATATATATTATACTGTATCCTGTAATTTAAATGCTAGTCATGCAAATATGGTAATTTTTAAAGAAAATAGTAAAGCCATACTTTTAATGACTCCCATGTAAAATTGTATTTGTCATATATGTACATATAAATATATGTACAGGAAAAAAGTTACATTATGTGGAATAAAACAATTAATTTATTAAGAAAAATTGTGAAATGTTTTTAATGTATAATTTAAGTATAATATAATGTAATATAATTTAAATAATATAAAAATTTTATATCCTATTCTAAACAATTTATACATAATTTTAAATATACTATAGTTTATTGTTAGGCTATATATAATCTCCTTTCTCATTATATTAATATCATTATATTATATGATGAATAATATATTATAACACTATTTTATAATATATATTACTCCTGTAACTTTTTTAAAACTGTATTTACTTTGGAAACACTCTGAAATAAGAAAAAGCACCTAAAATAAGAATGAAGATTAATTTCACTGAACTGTTTTGATCCCTACATGTTAAATATATTAAGTATTTGTCCTAAAACGCTCTGTACTATGATAGCTCATCAAAACAAACTGCGTATACTTAATAAAAGTCGTGTTGATCATCTGATAGCTGCATGAGGCATCAGCTGAGCTGAGAGGAGGATGCTGCTGCTGTCGCTCTGCTAGTCGCATACACTTCAGACGTCAACACACCGAAAGAGGGTAGATTTACTCATTTAATCCATTTAATATGGCATAGATATGACAAGTATAGTGTTCCAACATGTTTTTAGCTGTTTTGGGATGTCTCTGGATGCTTATTTCGTCGGTTTGTCGTCGATTTTAGCACAACGGCGCCGCGAGCGCAAAGCTAACTCTGAAACTGATAGGCGGAGAAGTTCAACAGCTAAACTGTATTTACTGTAAAAAAAACAACAAAAAACAAACAATATCTGCATGTATATGCGCTCAGTTTAATTTTCTGTGCATAAAAATTGTATTGATAGGCTTAAAGTGAATTGTTTTTATATGTTTAGGTAGTGAGTTTATTGGAGAATGGCGTTTGTGAAGAGCGGATGGCTGCACAGACAAAGTGAGTGTTTATTACTCCATATTTATGACCTTAAAATCCTTCGTTTTAGTTATTTTGGGCGTTTCGATGTCGATTGTAAGCATTTGATGACGATTTTCTAATTCATATGAAAGTTTAAATAGCACTTTTATCATTTAAAGCCTCTGAAATATACATCAAGTATGCGAAATATTTAGCTTGGAGGTTGAATTGAAAAGCTTTTCGGTTTTGCTTTGTTTTCATTCATTACAGCAGACAGCGTCCTTTCATCTACTTGTTAAGTTATCTTGTCATGATTTTTTAAACGGAAGTTGAAATTCAGCTGAACTTTGTGTCTCAAAACCTAATGAGCTGACTATCTGGCTGTATAGCGTTTGTCTTGTAAGTCTTAAGTGTTTTAAAGCTCTTTTTAGATGACTTCATTTTTTCTGTTTGCTTACATTTGTTTCAACTATAGAGGTCAGATTACTGTACATTTACAAGCAATTGTATTTAATTTTTGTTAGAATTTAATTAATTTATAATACATTTGTAATATGAAGAATATAAATAAAGTTGATACATTTTATAATGCAATTATTTTATAATATAATTTTTATTGTTTTAATTATAAAAAAGTAATTAAAACATGGCTGATATTAAACTTTGTCTAAATAAATTATTATTAAAATAATTATATATTATAATTTTAATACAT